TTTTTATAACGTTGACGCAGTCAGATATTTTGCAGAATGTCCCTCAGTATGGATTCGTATGATGTTTTCTCTTGATTAGATTCAGATTATGCATTTTTGGCAAATTTTTGTGTGGACATATATGTTTCAATTTCTCTAGGAATGAAATTGTTGGGTCATATAGTAACTTGTGTTTAACCCTTTGAGGAACTGCCAGACTGTTTTCCAGAGCGGCTACACCATTTTGCATTCCCACCAGCAGTGTATGAATGTTCCAATTTTCCACAGCTTTACCTTTATTCGTTATAATCTTTTTAATTATACCATCCTACTGGGTTAAGTGGTATCTAATTGTGGTTTTGATATACATTTACCTAATGGCTAATGCTGTTGAGCATCTTTTCATGCACTTCTTGGCTATTTGTATATCTTCTTTGAAGAAATGTCTATTCAGTCCTTTCAAATTGGTTTTTTTTTTTTTTGTCTTTTTATTGTTGAGTTCTCTGAGTTCTTTGTATATTCCATTTACATGTCCCCTTATCAAATAAATTATGCGCAAAATTTTATTTCATTCTGTGCATTGTTTTTCACTTTCTTGATGTCATTTTAAGCACAAAATTTTTTATTTTGATAAAGTCCAGTTTATCTTTTTGTTTGTTACTTGTGTTTTTGGTGTTGTATCTTAGAAATAATTGCCTAACCCAAGGTCATAAAGATTTATGCCTATGTTTTCTTCCAAGAGTTTATAGTTTTAGCTCTTAAATTTTGGTCTTCGATTCATTTAGAGTTAATTTTTATATGTGGTGTGAGGTATGGGCCTAACTCTGTGTGTGTGTGTGTGTGTGTGTGTGTGTGTGTGTGTGTGTGGATAGCAAGTTGTCCCAGCACTATTTGTTGAAAAACTATTCTTTCCCTTTGACTTTCTTGGTATGCTGGTTGTAAAATCAGTTTACTTTAAATGTGTTTGGTTTTGTTGCATTGCTCTACATGTCCATCCTTATGCCAGTACCACACCATCTTGATTCCTGTAGTTTTTTAGTAAGTTTTAATATTGGAAAATGTGAGTCCTCAATCTTTTTCTCCTTTTTCAAAAATATTTTAGATATTCTGGGACTCTTTAATTTTCATATGAATTTTAGAACTGTATTAGCTTGTCAATATCTGCGACTAAACCAGCTAAGATTTTGATAGAAATTGAGTTGGATCTGAAGATCAATGTGGAGGATACTGCCATTTTAATATTAAGTCTTCTAATCATGAACATGAAATGTCTTTCCAACTATTTCGGTTTTTAATTTCTTTCAACAATGTTTTGTAGTTTTTAATATTCAAATCTTCTTCTGTTGAATTTATCACTTTGTATTTTATTTTTTTATGCACATGTAAATTTAATTGCATTTAAATACAAATGTTTCCTTAATTTCTTTTTGGAGTTGTTTACTGCTAGTGTATAAGCATACAATTGACTTTAGTACATTGATCATATATCCTGAAACCTCAATGAACTCCTTTATTAGTTCTAATAGTTTTTTAGTAGATTTCTAGATTTTCCTACATAGAAAACCATCTTATGAAAGAAGTGGTGTTCCTTTAGAATTTAAATGTCTTTTTCCCTACCTAATCGCTTTGACTATAATCTCCAGTGCTGAGATCGAAGTGGTGAGAACAGGTATCCCTTATCTTGTTGATGATCATTCAGACTTTTAGCATTAAATATGGTATTAGATGTAGGTTTTTCATAGACGGTCTTTTTCAGGTTGGGGAACTTCCTTTTTCTTCCTATTTATTGAGTGTGTGTTTTTGTTTTTTTAATTTTGAATTGTTACATTTTTTTTCAAACACTTTTCTGCATCCAGTGATCATGTGGTTTTTCTCCTTTATTGATATGGTATATTACATTAATTGATATTTGAGTCATAAACCAACTCTTCATTTCTGGAATAAATTCTGGTCATGATGTATAATCCTTTTTTATGTTGCTGGATTGTTTGCTAGTATTTTATTGAGGATTTTTGCATCTACATTCATTCAGTATTGCTCTGTAATTCTTAGAGTCCTTTTGACACAGAGTGCTATATCTCTGATTTCTTAAAGCACCTGTGTTCCTTTAGACAGTACATTTTAAATAATAGCCAAATGTTAAATTTGTAAAGAAGATCTTAAATGATTTCATTGGAATATTTTTTATGATGAAAGGCATCTTTTTCACCACACATTTACTTTTGCTTAAAAACAATATGTCCCGTTCTGTTTGCTAGATGTCCTTTGAAACATGTCCCTTCCTTCTCCAGCTCTTAACCACTAAGTTGATATTCAGAATTTTAAAAATGCACCCAGTATACACAGCTCACAAACACAGGATATTAAATAGGAGAAGAAATTTATCTGGTCGACCATTGGATGAGCTATAATTCACTTTAGGATAGCTTTCCTACCTTACCTTGTCTTTCACATTAGTGTAAAAGTACCCATTCCTGCAGTATCTAGAAGAACATCAGGAGTTTGCAAAGTCATAAAATAAATCTCTTTCTAAAACACAAGTTTTACTAAAAGTTTAAAATGGATGGGTGTGGGGAAACTTTTTATATTAAAACTGAAAGGATCATTTTACAGAGAAAAAGACAAAATATTCAGAGATATTTAAGCTAAACCACAAGACTTCAAAGAAATTCAGTACTTTCATCACAATTTTCTGCCCAACCACCCAACTCTTAGAGTATGAATTCTCTTTTCTTGTTAGATAACAGTACATTTTGTGGAAGTTTTTGAGAAATATTCTGAGTCATTAAGTAAATGTTAACAATGGTGATTTCTTACTTTATGAACAGGCTATTCTCTTTGTAAATAATTAACAACCAACTCAGAATATTTTCTTGTTAGAGTTTTAACTTTTTATCCTATTAGTCAAATATTTCCCTTTCCTGTATTTAGATTCTCATTTTGTTAATTAACTTGTTGCTATATTCTAAATGAGATATAGAGGATTAGGTTTTTTTATGTTACTTCGTGGTCTAAGAATGCTTTGATGAAAAATGTAGATCATGATAACCAGACATTTTCTCTTGCATGTATCTCATGGGAAATATTATTGAACATAAATTAAACAAGAAGACAGATTTCAAAGTGGATATAAATCTTGAGGTTGTTTTATTGGCAAGTCCTCTGCATTTAAAGGCTGTATTAAGATACTTGCTCATATTAACTATGCTAATAGGCCACATCTTTACATAGGCCTATAGAAGTGTTGTACTTTGTACTTACCACAGCTTGTTAATTTTATATTCTTCCAGAACGTAGTAATTGCTAAAGGGTAGTCTAATCATAGCAGCATAACAGAAGAAAAAAAGGGGTGCGGGGGGGGGGCGCTGTTTAAATAGCGTAGTAACAAATTTTTCAAATGTACTCTAGAAACTAAATTTTAAAAAGTGATTTTTCTGGATAGAGCAGTTTAAGTTTTAGGAAAAATCTCATCTTAGACTCTAGTATTATGAAATGTATGTACAAGCATTTTTGCCCTCAATGATCCCTAGAGTTTTCATGGATCTCCTTCAGGTTGAACAAAGGGAGTAAGTAAATGTTGAAGTATACCTATATATTCTGACCTGGCAGGCTCCACAGAGATAATCTCTGTGTTTAGTTTAGTATTAAGGTAAATTTGGCAATCTTCAAGGGAGGCAGAGTAACCTGAGACAGAGTGTAAATCCTCTTCATATAGATATATTTGTTCTTTGTTTAGTTCTGTGGATTCCTTGTAATTGTATCAGTTTTAGAGATTACCTTCTTAGAATGGTCTGAGTCCCGTTCATGAGCCCAGTGGTATGCTAAACATAAATAATAGGATTGAGAAAATGATTTAAATGTCAGGATTAGCAATAAGAAATAAACCTATTGTTTGAACACTACTGTGTACCATGCATTTTCAAATTATTTCAAAGACAAAATGCAATCAACTCTTGAACATTCAAAAATTCTAATTTTCATTCTGTTAAATTATTGCTTTCAATATCTCCACCAGAAAGCTAACAACAAAGGAAAGGCTATGAAGTTCATGTTACTCAGAAATTTCTCTAGTAGAGTAGGGTCTGGGAGGAAGTAAATTTAGGAACTGAAAGAAAAGGTTTGAATTCCCTTTGGATTTCACTTACACTTATCCCTGTGTGACCTGGTAGGATAAATGTGTTATACTCTGGAGAAACAAGTACCAATAGTAACACAGAAATGCAGGGTTAACATCTCTATGCACAGAGTACCATAAAAATGAGAGTTGTCATTTTAAGATAAATTTTAATGTTCTTGTTTTTTGTGTGTGTGGGTTTTTGTTTTTTTTTTTTTAAAGATATTTTTTCCCTTTGCTCCTGTCAGAAACCACCTCTTTTTGGTAGGATTGAGTTGGAATACTTTTCAGAATTAGACATTAAAGAATCAGATTTGTTTGATCAGTGTTTTTAGCTTTAAAATCCTTTTGGACTAAGAGTAAATGTAGTACAAGCTTTTTTTTATGTTAATGCTGCATTTTTAATCCAATCTAGTTATTTATATGCTACTGAGGAATGCAGGGTTTCAGTGCCAAGAAAAAGTAAAATTGCTTGTGTATGTTAGTGAAATGTTTAAATGATTTATATGTTGTTTATTTCATTGACAGGATTTAAATAAAAGTATAAAATATCTAAATCAAAATAAATTGATTATGCCTATTTTGATAATGAACGAATGAAACCTAATGTTTTAAAAATGAATAGTTTTCTGTCCTGGATTATAATTGGAAACGTATGTCCCGTGTAGGACTTTCCTCATTTAAGATACTAATGATGAGTAGAAACAGTCTTAATTTAACAATAACATGCATATTTTATTGCAAAGGTGAGAAAGATTGCTTTATGAAATGTTATTTTTAAAAAATAAGAGTATGAAGAAATTAGCATACCTCTGGAAGAAATGTAGTTTTGGTAAACCGCAGCTGTAGACATATATTTTATTTTATACTTATAAGCATTTTCTTTCCATTTTTTAATTTCTTTCAGAATTAGTGAGGAAAAGGAAGTGACAGAAGAACGACTGAAAGCTGAGCAGGAATCGTTTGAGAAGAAGATCAGGCAATTGGAAGAACAGAATGAACTGATCGTCAAAGAAAGGGAAGATATCCTTTTTGAAAGTTCTCTTTTTTAATGTTCCGAAGTTTGATTCTTTCATGAAGAAAATGTAAACTCCAGAGAAATAATTGTTCTAATTTATAACAGGGAATAAATCTGCATGGGCTGCTATTTCTAGGCAATCAGAATGACACTTAACAGCATGTACTGTTGCTTCCTTTGTGCTTGATACAGCCATCCAGCTGTTCTGCTGCTGCTGTTATACTGCAGAGCACATATTTGTCAACTAAAAAAGACAATAAGAAATTTCGGCATTAAAATGTAGTGTTGGAACTTTATTAGATTCTGTTCCAGTACTGCAATTGAGCCTGAAACCTCTTCGTAGTTGGTATTCTTTTTAGCTAAACCTTGACAGTCCTAAGGACTTCTACTCTGAAATCATAAAAATTTTTAAGAGTTCATTGTGATTTATAGATGTTGTATTGATAAGTGTATCACACTGCAGCATAATACTACTACACTATTCTCGTGGAGGAGATTACCGTTGGGTTTAGAACTAGGGAGGGGTGTATATGTGTGTGTGTGAATATAGACATGCTCTGCCTAATGATGTTTCGGTCAACAATGGACCAAGTATATGAACATGGTCTCGTAAGATTATGATGGGGCTGAAAAATTCCTGTCATCTGGTGGCATTATAGCCACCTTAACTTCATAGTGCAACACATAACTCATGTGTTTATGGTGATGCTGGTGTAGACAAACCTCATATGCTGCCAGTTGTATAAAAGTATAGCACACACGATTATAGACAGTACATAATACTCAATAATAAACAACTATGTTATTGGTTTATGTATTGACTATATTATATTTTTTATCGTTATGTTAGAGTATACTCTTAATACTTATATAAAAAAGTTTGCTGTAAAATAATATGCCATGTTCAGCCAGCAGCAGCCTCATATATCTCCTGTGCACCGCATCTCTTGATTGCATCATTTTCTCTTGTGCTTGATTTAATCTCGTTTTGTTTTGTACGGTAGCATGCTGTACTGACTTGTACCGCAAGAGCAATAGGCTTTACCACATAGCCTAGGTGTGTAGTAGGCCGAACCATCTAGGTTTGTGTAAAAGCATACTTCACGATGTTCACACAACAATGAAATCGCCTAAGGACACATTTCTCTGAATGTATCCCCATCGTTAAGTGGTGCATGACTGTATGTGTATATTATGCTATTTATAAGAAAGTAAAGTAAAAACTGGTGTTTTAATTTAAGAATTGTATTTTAAGGACATGTGAGTTAAAATAAGCACTTGGGAAGTTTCTTTTGACTGGATAGAATTACTTAGGTGTTTTTTGCAGCGGCATTGATAAAAAGAGGAGTAACTGTCCTTAAATTTAGGGTGATGGATCTGCCAACTAAACTAGTATGGGAATGCTTGAAGGAACCATTGTCCTTATTGTCAGTATCGTCATTAACTCAATTGTTAGTAATCATTTCAAAGGTTCTTCAAGTGTCAAAAATGATCATATGTTGACAGTAACTATATCTTTGTGAATACCAAGTAAATAGAAGCATAAGGTAAATTAATTTACTTGGAGAAAAAAGCACGAAAATATAACTATAAAAAAGTGAGTTCTGAACTTACATTTTTCAAACCGTGGGAATACATGATTAGAAATTAATATAATCAGAATTCAGTTGGCTGAGTAGAACATTTATCAGGCTTATGGGCCCCACGGTTCTAAAGGAGTACTTTTTCAATTTTTTTTTTTTCTAAATTTCTTAAGCATTTGAATAATCTTATTGAGGCTTCTCTTTTCTTTACCCTCACTGACTTTATTGCCCTGGGTTGTCATCTCTCAGGTTAGACCTTCTTTTATGATTTTCTTTCTGCTAGTTTTCTCTTTAGGTTAAAGTAATGCTGTTTAGTAAGAATTCACAACAAATTGTGCTCAGCCAGATTTGGTCTTTTACTCTCACAAGGATTAATGTCACAGGACCCTAGCACTTTCAAGAAAAGGTAGATTAGGAATGATTTTATATGTAACAAAAATTTGCTTTACAGGATCTGTTTTTTGACTTGTAACAACTCTGGAGATGAGTAGTCTCTAGCATTGGTTCAGTGGTTTCAAGTTTTCAGTGCTGGATCTCTACAGCTCTCTTAGCTTTTTCTAATGGTTGCAGAATTCCAGGTTACAAAATGGTTGCTGCAATTCCAGGTATCACATTTGCATTAAAACAGGAAGAAAGGGGGAGGAAGAGGTTCTGGCCGTTGTGACTCCCTCTCCTTTTTGTAAAAAACATAAAATCTGTCTCAGAGTACTCCTACCCAATACCTACCCCACTCCATAACATATATCTGTTATGATATATTTATTGTCCTGAACTTTATTGCTTGGCCATGCTAAGCTATAAAAAAGGGCGGCTGAGAAAGTGAGTATTTAGCTTGTCCAATTTATATAGTGGAAGGCAGCAAGGGAAGAGGGGTTTGGGGATGAAGTCAGCCTCCAACTCTGTCTGGTAGTAGAAGTAGGGGGAATAGAAATCACTTTTTAAAAAAATTTTTACTATTAGTTTCAAGTATACAGTACATTGGTTAGCCATTTATATAGTTTATGAAACGATTCCCTTGACTGCTCTTTCTCTCCTCTGGCTCTCCACCTAGCCATTACATTCCCTGTGCTGTTTTTTATACAGGGAAGAGTTGGTGATACCCCAACCTGCCTGGGACAAAATAAATAAATAAATAACTATTCTGTCCAATGGAATTGGGGTGAGTTGGGGAAATAAGGTGAGAGAGGGAAGTAGCTTGTAATTTAGAAAGCCCAGCTACAATTACAGTGGGGTGTTGTTTATCTAGTGATATGCTTAAGAAAAATGTGTGGCTATCTGGAAAAGTAAAATCTGATTTTGGTGAGCTAGTATATTTAGCACATTCTGGGTCAAGATTAATTGTATTTAGTACCAAAGCAGCCTAAACTCAGCATGTCTATGATGGTTTCTTCTGTCCAGCTAAATATTAAGATACCTCAGGTGATTGCATTGATTCAGTATTTCATATTTTCTCTATGACTTAGCTCAGATCAACAAACTACTGCCATGGGCCAAATATCAGGTAAATCCAGCCACCCCCATTCATTTGTGTATTGTCTATAACTGCTTTTGCACTGTAGCTAAAAGTTGAGTAATTGCAAAGACCCTGTGGTCTGCATAGCTTACAATATTTACTCTCTAGCCCTCTACAGAAAAGTTTGCTGACCTCTAATCTAATAAGCAAAAAAGGAAAGGAAAAGATGTAAATAAAGTCAAGGCTTGGACATGTGTCATAGTTAGACCTATCTTACAAATCATATTAAGGTATTTGGGCATTTTTTATTTTTGTGAATGAAGATTGGAGTAAATGTTGGACCATTATCAAAAATTGAAATGGTTTAGTTAATATAATTTTGGTTTAAGTTTTTTTGAATCACCAAAAGATAAGTGATATTTGTGGAACTTGTCAAAGAAGGGAAAAAGGAAGATATGATTAAAAAACAGTGACATCCATGGTTTTTATTCCAAGTAGATTGCTCAGGTATAAATCTCCTTTATCAGCATAAACCTGTCAAAGGTTAATATAGATGACTTTACAGTACATAAAACTCTATAAAACTTAGAAACATAAAACAAGGTTATAATTTAAAACAATATA